TTTCAATAAGATTTCATACGTTTTCTGAACTCCAAGATGGGATATATGAGAAATTTCTCATTTTCACAGGATTTCAGTGCTAGTGGGACAACAACTAATTCAGCATTAGGCTCTAGTGTAGAATTGGGTGGCCCCTTCGATTGGCGACATTTTTTTTTAAAAAGTTTGGTGATGAAACCTCACTTCTAGTTACCACGATAGTTTTAACTTTGTTTTCCCAATTTTATTTAAATGAAAATAGATTGATGTGTACATGGACATATTTAAAGCAGTGTGCCTTGCCTAGGTTGTGCAATTCTAGGATGTTTTTTTAAGTAAAACATGGACACAGATCTTGTGCAATTCTTTGACTTCTTATTTTGATTTTGTGTAGCGGCCATCTTGAAATTGTGCCTTCCTGGCGCCGATCTTGGCGTCAAAAAAGAATCGCCAATAAACAAGGGGCACCCAATTGTAAACTTTTACCCAGCATTATTTCATTTATTCAAAACAAACATAAGAAGCTTATTGAATCATTTATGAAGAAATTATGTACTTTTGCTGAATTAAGCAAGGCAGGATTTTTCAAAATGTTGGTAATTTCTGAAGTACATGGATCAGAAATTTGCTGAGCAAGATTGCTGATTCACCTGGATCTAAAGTGAATTTGTGTTTCAAACAAGCATTGCAATCTAATGATATAGTATAACAATTAGCATTTGCATAACATTAGCCATATTAATTAAAGGTACATAAAAATTATTAAATTCAGCTATTGCATCTTTAGTACATATTAACACATCATGTTTGGATAAAAACAAACAAAACAGCAAGACAAACAATATACACTGGCTGAAAAATTAAAAATTGGACCAGTTAGCACCCAATTATTTAGACATGGGAACAAAATACCATTATTAAATCAAAACAATGAGAAAGCAAGAAATATTATCTATAAAATAATATACAATTAATATCATTGCTTATAAGGTATTACACACACTGACCAATGAATTAGAAATGCAAGATCAATATTTTATTGGATCACAGTGCATATTACCTACGAAGAAATTGACAGATGCATATTACCCTACGAGGAGAAAATTTTAATAGCGATTTAATCAATGGATCTTGGCCATTACACTTAACTTCATGTCGAAACAGGTATTCAGTAGGTGATTAGCTAATTCTACTTTTCAAGACCACAATTTTGTACTCATAATTTCAGAGGCAGCAGGATTTTTAGACTAAGTGCATCAGTTGCAAACTTAACAAAAATTTGCGAGATAATTAACAATCTTATGCACATAATACCCATGCCTGCCATTTGTCAGTCATAATAATTGGTTCCTCTGCCATGTGCTTCTTAACCAGACACTTGTTGGTTTCTTTCCTAAGGCATGAAACCAATGACAATGAAATATGCCTAATCCATTTCCATTGAGACATAATTTCATGTTATGTCTCTCAGAACATGTTTTTGATTGAAAAATAATCCTTCTAAGACACTACAGACAAGTATCATCTCTGACAATTTCCTTAATTAAAAAAAAAAAAAAATCCATCTATTCATAGCTCAAAAATTCAGAAAAGATAACGTAGAAATCTAAAAGAAATCTGAAAAAAATAACAATAAATAAGTGAAGAATAAAAATACACATGAAAAAAAAAAAAAAAAAGCAATGAATGTGTAGCACAATAGTACCAAGTGCAGTTTGACGCGCAATACTGAAATTATAAAAATGTCAAAACAAAACTAACCTTTACAGTCATATCTTTATCAATTATAACCCATTTTTTCACACATGTAATTAGTTGCCCATCGAGCACATACAATGAATTCAACTACAGAATTTACAGTCCACAAACAATGCGGTTTGGAAATCTTCTGCAGACTTTCAGTCAACAGTGGAAATGTAAAATCCTTTTAGTAGCGGCAACATTATCTGCAACCAATGGAGCATTCTTTTCACAGGCACATTTCTTGCAGCAGGTGCTTTTCTTTTACGTGACGGTTTGGATAAATATGAAGGCAGATTTGGAAAGATTGAGGGTATTGCTCCTTCTTGGAGTCTAGGGCGGCCCATTTCCAACTTGAATATTGTCCCATCGAACAACTTCGTCTCGTAAAATCGTTTTATATCACTTTCTGCAAAATGATGCTCGCATACAACATCCTTCTCTGAAAGTATTCGGTCGGGCCGAGGAATTGCATGTCTTCCATTTGTCTAGCAGCACAGGATCCTGTAAAATATATTTCAACAAGTATGTATAAATATCAGAATTCAGTTACATACAAAATTAAAATACTCTTGTTGTATGCAATTTTTTTAACGTGACTTTGATGCAAATTTAATATTTAATGATTAAAATTAATTTGAAAATAGTAATGGCAAATTAAAATTTAATTGCAGCACTAACGCTTGAATAGTTTTACACATTCAAATTTAAAATCCTTGTGCATAATGGTTCTCACTGTGCAGTGTATCAAGATTTAAATCTTAATTTTTAACAGCCATTCAATTATTGATTGTGGCATGATTTTATAATATTCATAACTTATTTAATATGCTGAATTTATCTCATGGAAAATAAATTTTTCATTACACTTATCTGCTGTTATGTTTTCACTCAACCATGCAAGTAAAGTTAATTTTTAGCAGCACAGTGTTCATTTCCATTTATTATAAAAACCTACTTCAAACGGAAAAGAAGGGGAAATGAGTTAATCTTCTTTTCTGTAAATGAAATAAAGAGGCAAATATTCCATCATTCTTGCATAATTCCAGAAATTTATTTAACTTTAAAATCTCAGGATTGCCTGCTTTCATGCACGAAATGCAAATGCACATAAGTTATGTGAAATATTTAACTAATTTCCAATTTAAAGTTCTGTGAAATATTTAACTAATTTCCAGTCTATTACTTTTTAAATACCCTCTTATTTACTAGCAATCCAGACGTTCTGTAAAGTTATATAAATTCGTCTGACTGTGATCAGGCATGATATAAATGTTGCTCACCTTGGAGCTCTAAATATACTTGGATTCTTGATTTCCAAGCTTTTATTCTTCTGCCTAACAGATGTATAACCACTGTTGTATCCGGGGACGAAGCAGGTTGCATTACAAGAATTACTCATACTGGAAATTGATATCAAATCAATATTTTCTGTATTGCTGCCTATGGCAAATCCTACGAAAAGTAGAACAGCTAACGATTGCAGCGCCCTCTATAAATAATGCGACAAAAGTGGACCATTTTTGGAAAAGTTGTAAAATAACCAGTTTCCTCCGTTTTAAATATCGCTTAGGTAGCGAGAACGTGGAAAGGTCATTCGAATTTTTTCAGAGACGTTAGGATATCTAAAAACTGCCTTTACTTAAATCTTAATGCTGGTCTGCTATTACTGGAGTAATTATAGACTTAATCATAGAAAAAAGCGTTCAAATTATGCTCATATTTTTTAATAATCCCTATATATTAGGTCAGCACTTTATTGAATACATGAATTAAGTAAACTAAAAACGGATTTAAAATAGTCTTCAAATATTAGGTATATTTTGCCACTTCAATATTTCAGTATTTTTCTTGCATCACGTAATTTCTTGCATCACGTAAGTTATTTCATAGCCGGAAGGATGGTATAGTTGGAAATTAGGAACATCTCAAGAGATAAATAGTGAAATTCGGAGAATATTTCGCAGCCGAGGATTTTCACTTATACTTTCTTTCAAGGAATCAGTTGGATATTGTTCGGAGAACAGCCTTGGTTGCGCCATATTGGCTCCTTTAAGGATATGGGCGACATTTCATTCAATTTCTTTCTTACTTCTCTTTCTTTTTATTTTTTTTTTTTTTTTTTTTTTTTCAATTTAATGTTAGCCTACAGTTTAAAGTTCTACTGCGACAGGATGCGAAGAACTAAAATGATGTTAATTAAGTCTCAATAGCTGAAACATTCTTAAATCTAAATTAAAATTCTATTATAGTTTCTTATTATTCATTTGTTATTGTGTTAAACGTTATATCTAATAAGCGCTTTAGCCACGCCTTTTAAAATGAGTTGACCTTTATTTTCTGACCTTGCTTTAACTGTAGAGTATGTTAATGCTTTTTCAGGTAAAAATGGCCGCAAACCTTAAGAAGTGTACGCAGTTAACTGGATTAGCTGTGGCTAAAAATCCGCATCGTGTGTTAACGAGTTACTATAACAAAATACTACGTGCGTTGGAAAATATACCCGAAGGTGCAGCATATCGCCAACATACAGCAAAATTAGTAGAAGAACGTCTTGCACTTGTAACTGTAGAATCTGATGTAAGAAAACTGGAGGAAAAAATTAATGCTGGCCAAGTTGAAGAACTCATACTTCATGCAGAAAGAGAACTTATGCTAGCCAGAAAAATGATAACATGGAAACCCTGGGAGCCTTTACAGACAGTACCTCCTTCTAATCAATGGAAATGGCCTATTTAGATATCAAATTTTATTTCTTGTAGTTTCTTCCACTTGAAAATAACGTAAGAAATCGTCATGTTATGTTAGCAGAATTAAAACGAATATGGAGTATTGTTATTACATCAAACTTTATGTTTTATATACTCATACACACTAATATAATAAATTTGGAATTTGGAAATTCCGTTTTCTGCGTTCAACTTTCATATATTAGAAATAAATTAATATCTAGAACCGAGTTTGGGCAATACTGTAGATAATTTTTGTTTGTTTAAATATAAGTACGTCATCAAACGTTAAGATGTCTGCCTGTGCATTCTAATAACCTGTACATATGCATTTTTTAAAAATTATATTGTTTCATTCAATTCAGATTTTCAGTTGTCAAACAGGTTATCAGTTTATAATTTCAGTATATAATTCTCAGTTTTCAAATCTGCTAATAAAGGAGTAACTGCAAGTGGCCCTAGATCAGGTGTTCTGTAAGGTATTTTTCCCTCCTTCCAACTTGCCTTCATGGGGTAATGGTAGCACACTCTGAGGTCCAGGTTCAAGTCGTGGACAGGGCATTGCGCATTTTTCATGTTTCCTGCTTCCCAAAATAACCTAATGTCTCTACAGTGACACCTGAACCAAAAGGTGGCTGGACGATAATTTCCCTATCGCCAGGATTTGGCGATTGGGTTCCCACCTCCCCAGTCTCTCTTTAAAAGGGAGAGTATGTAAGGTATTTTCTCCCTCCTTCTAGCATACCCTTATGATGTAACAATAGCACACTCAATGTGTATTCGAGAGTTTCAAGACTGAGAGCATTGCGCATTTTCACGTCACCTGCTTCACAAAATAACCTTAAGTCTCTAGTTTTGTTCAGATTCAGGTCTTCATACTAGGTTTTATTGGTATTTTTACATGCTTTTATCTGTGTATATCATAAATGTATGCTAGTGTTTTTCAAATATAGATCCATAAAAGCATTTTTTTAAAAACAGCTTATCAATTATAATTATGGAATTGTGTTTTTCAAATATAGATCCATAAAGGTATTTTTTTTAAACAGCTTATCAATTATAATTATGTAATTTTCTAACCAGAAGATATCAGGATTGCATTCTTACATTTTAAATTTTGATTGTTTTTATTTTGTAAACATAATCAAATGGCTAATTTAAGTCCTTGAGAATAAAGTGTGAACTTTTCTGGTAGCTCTTAAGTTTTTAACTAATTATAATGCAAAAATTCTTCAAATGATGATTTCTTATTAAATATCAAATTTTGTGAAATACATTGGACTAAATACAGGCTTTACTTATGGATATTATTACAATGTGTATTAACTGTATTTAAGCTGTTAATGTTTCTATAATTTATCCAGTCCTTAAGGCATTAGCTGTATTTGTATTAAAATTTTTTTTGGGGGGAGAGGGAGATATCTGCCTCTTGAATTTAGTGCTTTATTGTTTTTATTTAACATCGATGTAGTGCTACAAGAATTTCATCAAGTTACTGAAGTATTACAGGCTTATTTAATTGGGTTAGAGTAGACTAAAGGGTACCCCTTGTATTTTCACGGAGTTGTTGTTTTTCATTTATTGACAAGTTGTTTCATTTATGGTAACCTTAGCAGTTGAATGTTCCATAAATATACTTACCTAGAATTGGGTGCTCCTTTGATTTTTTAAGTGAAAATATATTGATGTGTACGTGGACAAAAGGAGTGCGCAGTGCCAAGTTTGTGCAAATCTCTGATGTTTTTTTTAAGTGAAAATAGGTCAACTAGTACATTGACAAAGAATTACCGCTACACAAAGACAAAATAACAAGTCAAAGAATTATACAAACTTGGTATCCATGAACCGCTAGTTTTCGCCAAGGGGTACCTGTAAATATACTTTTACCTGTAATTGTACATTGTGTGGGATAAATTACATGTGATAGGTGTAGCATAGTCATACAAAGTCTAAATTTGTTTTACTGCGAGACCAGAAAGCTAAAATTTGGGGGTAAAAGTGTATTTATGGGTACCCTTTGGCGATTTTTGGTGGTACATGAATACTGAGTTTGTGCAGTTCTTTGATTTCTTATTTTATCTTTGTATAGCGGTGATTTTTGGCAAAAATCTCCGCTACACAAAGGCAAAATAACAAGTCAAAGAATTGCACAAGCTCGATATCCATGCACACATTGACCTATTTTCATTTAAAATTACATAATTGCACAAACTAGGAATTGCTCATTCCCTTTATTCATGTACATGTCAACTTATTTTTGCTTAAAAAAACATCAGAGACTTGCACAAACTTGGCATTGCACACTCCCTTCACTTTGTCCATGTACACATTGATATATTTTCACTTAAAAAGTCAAAGGAGCACCCAATTCTAGGTAAAAGTATATTTACGGGACATTCAACTACTCGGGTTACTATAAATGAAACAACAACTTGGCGATAAATGAAATGACAACTTTGCGGTAATACAAAGGGTACCTTTCAGTCTAATCTAACCAATTTTGAATCTTGAGTTGTGTATGGACATACTGCCTATACCCTTTTAAGTTCAATAAATTCATTAGTAGAAAGTGTGATGTTAGGATATTTTTTTATGAATTGCATAACTAATAAGTGAATTCTGCTTACACAGTGAAATATAACTGTCTGAACAATCATCATGGATCACATTCGTATAAAATGTTGTCCGCTTTAATGTATATTGGTACGAAGAAAAATGCTGTGTAATTGAGCATATACTTAAAGTTAACATAAATTTGTCTCTTTTTTAGCTGAATCTTCATTATGATGTATTTTTTAAAAAGGATATGAGTAACAGTAATTTAACAAATTCAGAATTTGAACAGTATCTGACAATAAATAATAATCTTATTGCTGAGGAAATGATAAGTGAAGAAATTTTGAACATAATGTAATATACTCATGGTAAGGAAAAAAGGCACTCTTTTGTTATTGGGACCGAATTAAAAAATGTATGTATATATGCACTTGTATACATGCATGCATTTCTGAATCTGGTTCCAGTATCATAAAAAAGTGCAGGAAATGAATTCAAAAAAAGTATGGGTTAATCTTTGGATTATGGTAACTTGGCGAAACTTTGGCGACCAACCCTGCTACAGCAACCTGCTAGCTTTTGTTTGGACGCCATTTTGTTTTCACGAAGTAAGGCATTTTCTTTTCTTTTTTACTCAACATTTTTTTTTTTCCACAATTGCTAGCGAATTACGCTTATGCTAGAACTTTAGTGGAACAAAGTGCTAATCATGATGAAGAGTAGGTGCGAAATTGCCAGAAAAGCCAGAATTCCGCAAACTCTTGCCGCATTTAAGAATTGCACCACCGGTATCATCCATGTACACGTAGACCTATTTTCACTTAAAAAAACATCCCAGAATTGCACAAAAATGGCATTGCGCACACTCTTGATTTTATCCATGGTATACTGCTAAAGTCCTAGCTAGTAACCCTTATCACCTTACCAAAATGTCGCCAAACTACTAGTTACAATATTCCAAAGATTAGCCAAATTATGAGCTGTAGGAATATTTTGTCACTTCCTCTCAGTTGCAGTACTTCAAAAGCAGCTTTAGAGCATTAGATATGTGAATAGTTTATCCATTAAGTAACTGAAGATAATTTATATTCCAATTAAAAGCACACTGTTTTTCTGGACTTATTTTAAAAACATATTTTAACATATTTTAAAAACTTAAAATGTATATTGTATTATTACTATAAGTAGTGATTTATTATGGAATTTTGCATTAAAAAAATTTGACGTGGACATCGCACAACTTCCTTGTATAGTCTATTAAGTGATACACATTTTTTGCTGCACTTCATTTAAACTTATTTTCTCAAATTATTCTTAATTAAACCTTATCTGAAAGTAGGCTAAAAATAACATCAAAAGTGTCAAATTTTAGAATTAAATATCTCCATCAATTTTTGTCTTATGGAATGAAACTTCTTGTAATTTTATTTTTTCTTAACAAATATAAAACTTTCCAAAATGTAAGTATAGGAACCAAAAGTCTGCGTTAAAAGTTAGATTTCACTGTTTGTGAAAAATGAGGTTTTTTTTTTTTTTTTTTTTTTTTTTTTTTTTTTTTTGTTTTTTTTTTTTTTTAATTTGATGTTACCCAACCATTAATATTTTCATCATTTAAAACACTTATTTAAACTGGAAGTAGATGTCCACAATTAATGATTGCAAACATAAAGGCTGGTAAAGTGAGTGTATGGATATATCCACCCACTTACCCTTATGTATATTTATCTCCCTCTCTCTTCATATATATATATATATATATTACATAGGTGTGCAAAAATTGAGGACAAGATTGTTTTTTCAATACAACGTTGTGAAAAATCTTTCCAAATCAACACAGATAACACCATAAGATCCCTAGGGTGTAAAAACATTGGTATTGTTAAGCTAAACTTCCCAAGAATGAAATCAAGAGGATAAAAAGGAACTATTAAAAATGTAGGATGGAGCACAGTGTAACAGAAGGCTGAAACATCCATGTGACAGGTGTCCAGGAAGAAGCAACCAGCCTTTAGTAGAGGATATGAACTCCCCTGCTGTGCAGCTTGAGCATTGCCTGTTCATGCTGAGTATGAGGTTGAAAATGAGTTGATGATGCATTATTGCCCATTCTTGTAGCACCAATCACAGCTCTGTAATTGTTACTGGCAAGAAGTTATATGCTGCCACGCATGTTCCTAGAAAGTCCTATGCATGCTCAATAGGATTTAGTTTCGGAGACCTTGCCAGCCAATCCATGCATTTAGTCCAACAACTCTTCGACGGCAACTGTGCGATAAGGTAGAGTGTTGTCATTCATGAAGAGGAACAGAGGACCCACTGCACTTCTTAAAAGATGCATGTAAGGAAGGAGAACTTCATTACAATAGTGGGCCTCGTTGACTGAACCTCCTTGGCAGATGTGAAGGTCGTACAGTTAGCAAGCATGATGTCTCCCCAAATGAGAAATCGCTGGCCTGCAAACTGGTCAATGATGTTCGAGGGCTATTCCAACATTATTCTGAAGATCACCTCAGCGTGTGTAAAGAAGAATATGGATACATTCTGAAGAGGCATATGAACCTCAGCATTCCACGTCCATCCTCTACAAGATCACTTCAACATATGAACCATAAACAGAGTTCATGGAAATTTGAAACCTTTAAGAAATTGCCATACTAAAATTCAGTCAACATCAA